CATTCTCATTGTTTTGCATGAACTATGGAGCTAGAGCCAGGAGTTGGTTAGCTTAGCTTAAGATAAAGACTCCACATAAAACCACAAAGTGTTGTTTTCTCATTTCTGTTTGTGCACAGATTAAACAGAAGTCCGCTTTGAGAAGATTGGACAGAGCCCGGCTAGCTGTTTATCCCTGCTTTCATTCCTTATGCTATGCTAAGCTAATGACCTCCTGGCTCCAGCTCCATATTTAAGACATTGTGAGGAAGCGAGTGAGTATATATCCCAAAATGTGGAACCACTCCTCGACTCACCAACTGTAGATGTTTTTAGTCCTTTTTTGTTATTTGGTGTTCTTTTGTGTTACATGATTTCTGGGTATTCAAAAGTTACCGTTTACTGCCATTTGAAGCCGCTATGCAGCATTGTAACATTTCCTATCATTGTTGTAACAATAGTGTAATGGCTTTAAGCTTGGCATATTACATTACATATAATATCTGGAGAACAGAGTCCTGAACCGGGTCGGGTAACAGTTATCTAAAAAAATTCTATAAATTCCCAGATGGGTAAAAATGAACTATGCAGTACAGCAGGCGAGAACATAATGTATACGCTTTTTGTCTGGAGGAATCAGATATGAAAATGATTGTGCAGTATTTTTGAAATCTAAATCAGATAATATTAAAGCATGGCTCTAATTGCGTGCTACCTGAGTGTGCTCGCTATGCTAGCCCCGAGCGTAGCCGGGGAAAGAGACTTTTTCTTGGCTTGTGAAGGGAGAGCCCGGCTTACACCAGGGACTGTGGACAATATTATTTTTCTGCACAGCAACCTCAGACTCAAGGAGCAATTAAATGTCAGCATAGTGAGTAGCATCGCAGTTTAGCTTCTGCCAAAGTGGGTCCAGCTGATTATGATTTTAATTCATGATTCTACATGCTCCAATGGTACAGGTAAAAATAAAGCTCTTTAAATTGAGTGGCTGTGGAGCCTGTGTGTCTAATCACGGGTCGAGTCGGGGGTCTTATATTAAAGGGGCGGGCGGATCTGCGTTTGACTTGAAGATGATTGCAGGGAACAGGCGGGCTTAGGACATCCTCAAGCAGCCATTTTGCTTGAGTTCGAAAAGGCCAGCCTCAGTGAATGACACCTCGATGTTATTATTTCTTTACACAAAGGAGTTTACCCGTAGTGTCATTTTTATTGATTTGAATAAGAAAGACCAGTCACCAGGGTCTCTCCAACACTGACTGACAGCTAATTCATCCAGGATTGACAACCCAAGTAGTCACTAAGCATATCGGTGCTACGATCTGGTGCAGCAGAAGCAACCAAAGCGATGAAGAACCCCAGACCTTCTATCCACTTGGAAGTTCAGCCTTACAAGACTGGGGCCTTTCTGTGAGACTGACCAAGCACAGACTTCAATCCATAAATATCCTGCTTTTTCTTTTTCTCGTTTTCTTGTTAAATGTGTTCCGGCCGCTCATAATCTCCGTATTATGCGTTCAGAGCTTATCCGTGTCGTCCAGAGTCACACGTAACAGCACTGACTGTAGCTGCCCGAGGGACGTCAAGACAAGTAGCTCTGCTGCCAGCCGGCCTCGCTGCCTGACTGACTGTCTCCCCGATGCTCTGATTGACTGCTGTAGCTAAACGGAAGGTCACCGATCTACCGAGCGTCTCCACAGGCTGTCCTGCCCAGCCGGCCTGAATTATTTATGTGGCCGATTTTTAGGAGATCTGAGGGAATGGCCATGTGAAATTACCTTGCATTGATCAGTTGAGAGAGGGAGGGGGGGGGGGGGTGTTTGACGGATCAAAGAGGACTGAGAGAGCAGCCGTGAGGAAAGCAGGTTCTTGTCTTTACTGGCTAGATTCTGACATCAATAACAACGTGATTACTGGTTTTGACAAATTATACAGATACACCACTCATTAAGATTTTATTTTTCAGAGCTTTGGATCCCAGCCTACTTTAAAATTTTCAAACGTATTTCCCCAATTTTCACGAAACAAAAGACATTGGATCTGGTAATAAACAGCCTTGAATCTCTTATACGAACTAAGATTATGAGTTATACAGAGTTAATAACTGGTGTCTGGCAGCAGGGAACAGGGTTCCCCGTCCGGAACAGTGATTTATTCAGTGTGGGAGCAGCTCCTCCCCATCCAATCTCTCACATCTCTTTGTGGGGAAATTTAGAGCCTTTCACTCGAGCTCTAGTGTACAGAGGTGTAATTTAAAGGAGCTTAGGCCCCACATTATTCTTGAGTAATCACATTATCTATGTCCTGTTGCTCTGACCCACACAGAGCCTTTTTTCCTCTACACATCTCTCACATCCCGTTTAAATCCAATTTTGGTCCTGCTTATAACTAAATCAACAAAACGCCGTCTAAGCGCTCTGTATGTTCTCTCCCTGTATAACTCTCCTTGAAGAGATCACAAGGCAAGTTTTATTGGACATTGATCAAGTTCACTTTAAAGGGATTCTCCTGGATTTTGGCACATGCCTGCTGTGTGTTAACAGCACTGCTCCATCACGAGACAGCAGGTTGTAATCTTGTGACCTGTGTGTGTGACTGCAGACCTTGAGACGGAAAATCCATTTAAGCTAATTGTTCTCGTGCTTGAGCGGGCGAGTCCAAAGACCCAAAACTGAGTTCGCTTGATAGGTTGAACAAGAAACTGTGTTGTTTCCGCCGGCGTCTTTCATTACTGGCTGATTTTTTAAACTGTGCGTGCCTTGTTGTCGTTGTACTCTGATTCCTGACTGCAAGCATTGCAGGTGCATCGACTGTGAGGTGCAGAGCGACAAGCCCGACACAAAAAAAGTCATGCAACAAGACAAAAATATGAAACGTGTGAAACCGATCGCGGTGTCCCAGACAAGGTAATGAGCTCAAGAACAGGGAGGCGCCAGCCGGCATATGGCAGGGTGATGACAAGGCCTCGCAGACATGTGTTTATTATGAAAAATCATCTGGAACACATCTGGAACTAATCCCATTGTAATGCGTAAGGCCTAATATTCATTCTTTGCATCAATATAACCAACATGAATTCATGTTTCATCTCTCTGGCATCAATCCAATTGCTCGACCACTCTATGTTTGCATCGATCTATCAGAGCATGTTCAGACAAAGTCCTGCTTTCAGCTATCGGTTACACTTCCTACTGACTTCCTGTGTCTTTGTTTGTCTTCGTGTGACATGTGATCATGTATTCACCGCTCTCTATCTGGTCTACGAGCTCTGCTTTAGCCGTGAAATCAATTCCATTCCTTACATCCTGACCTCCAAACGAAAATACCCCGCAGCCCACCGCTGCATCCCCCGACTCTTTAAAGGAGTTTTCAAGTCTCTTTGTGCTGTCTTGCCCCCCCCCCCCCCCCCCACGGAAATAAACAAGGCGAGGGAAGGGGCAGGGAACTCAGTGAAGGTGGCTACCGGAATCTTTCGCAGAACTCGGCGGTCACAAGAGCGTCATGAATCTTTAATGAGAGATGTTCGCGCGCCAAGGAGAGGAAATGTGCTGAAAACATGATCATAGGCTCATGGGAGAGGAAAGCGAAAGAGAGCGAGAGAGATATCAAGCAGGGGGGCAAGGATGAAAGAATTGTTCTGAAGGGCAAAGTTGGTACAGAGGGGTAATATATATATATATATATATTTATTTATAAAGCTTGGACAGCTTTAAGGCAAAGGCATTTTTCCACCGCTTAACCAAACCAAGTTCTGACCAGAAGTGCTCCCAGAGCCAGAGAGGACGAGGGAGGATGCTGTGTGTCGTGTACACCTTTACATTAATACTATTTGATTTGACAGCAACAGTTTTTCTTGCCAAGCAGAAAAAAACAGCGCAGGATTTTTGGGTCAGCGATGTCAAGATGGAGTCCAGAGCCTGCCGTGTGTTTAAAAGAACAATCATGTTTATTGCAATATAGTTTGATGTCTTACAGTTGTCTGCGTGAAAGAGCATGTTTCTGTTGAAACTATCAAGATGAATCCTTGATCCGATCTCTCGCTGTCTGCCCCCCTTAGTCTCCAGGTAATCTTCCAGTCGATACACTTTGATAAATCAGATGTGTGTGTGTGTGTGTGTGTGTGTTTGTGTACATTATGGTTCACATTTTTCGTGAAGGTTGTTGCCACTCGGCTCGCTGTCACTTGCACCATTGCAGCAGAGATTGAAACAGACGAGGGGGGAATGTGGAGACGTTAATGCTGCTCTATACAACACGTCATTAAGTGGTGGCCATAGGCCGAGGGAGTGCACGATGTCTTTCAACGAATTCTAAAAGCTCATCTACCTGCACATCTAGACTGTTACTTTAGTCTCAAAACTCTTTGAGTTTATAGAAGACAAAGATGAAAGCCTATGAGATGTAACTCACTGTACACATAGAAGGAAATGCGCTTATTTGCTTTCTAGCGTTAGAGTTAGATGAGAATTCTGATACCAATGTCTGAATTAAATATGGAGCTAGAGCCTGAGTGCAATAAGCCTAGCTTAGCATAAAGTATGAAAGCTAGGGGAAACGGCCTGCTGTGTCCGAAGTAAATACCTCTGCCCCCCAGCACCTCTAACGCTCACTTATTAACACGTTATATCTCTTTTGTTTAATCTGTTGACAAACTAAATAATGAATACAGTAATCTGTGGTTTTGTTGGTTACAGTTTTTTTTGCTAAACTAAGCTAATAAATCTCCTCATCTAACTCTCGGCAAAAAAAGAAAATACTGTGAAAATATTCCTTTATACGGTACATGGTTCAGTCAGTTTTTGCGTAAGTGGTGTCTGGGACAATAATGAACCAATTCCATCTTTTACATATCTTTCTGTTGATACATTTATTTTAAGTACTCCAACATCTAAATTTCAATTTGTTTTGGCAGTATGAACAGATAGAACGTCAGCTCCAAGTCACTCGATTCGATTCAGGCACTCCTCTCTTGTCAAAACAACACATTTAAAACTCGTCTCTCTCTTCTTCTCTCTTTGTCACAGCTTTGATATCAGCCGGCTGCTGCACCAACAACTGTAGAAATGTCAAGGTATGGGACAGGTAAGGACCCCTCTCTTTGAAAATAGAAGAACAGCCAATGACGGTCATTGTGTGCTCTTTCCACGAGGGCTCATAATCCTGTAATTAGCTCCCATTAGTCTATTGTACCATACAGAGGGCTTCCTTCACCTGGAGTCTTGAAACCTTTTTACATTTAACAGTGGGTTGGAGGGTATTCGTGAGGACAATCAGAAATCACTCTCTCAGGATTTTACAGGATAATAGAATATGTTTACTCTGTTCTCTTGATAATCATTAGGTGACGCAATAGCTCAGATTCATATTCTGTTGTGATCCCATGTCATTGCAGGGTCAGTCCTTGAGTTAGCCCAGCGTCCCAGCTCCAGATGACTAATGCGTTTGCATTCTGGTCTGGCCCAGGTGTAGTCACAGTGGGTTTACAGTGGGACTACAGAGTTAGGGGTGACCCTGTCCTGTCCCCGTGTGCCATCCTCCATCTTCAATCAGGTCCCAGTGGGAGGGCGAGATGGCTGTGTTAATATTTAATGACTGCAAGACAAGACATACCTCCTCCCTAGTGGATAGTCGCGCCCCCACTAGCCCGAACACATACAGTATGCCTACAAACATGCATAATCATATGCATACAAACATGCATAATCCACACACATTCTCACCGTCATCCTCTCATATACGGTGACCTTTTCGACCAGGGAACGCGGCGTCCTCCTTTTCTTCCACATCAGTCTTTTCACCTTGTCATTCCCTCTGTGCCTGTGCTTTTTCAGCCCACTCCATCTTATCTCACACAAAAATATCAATGACTCAGGTGAGGAACAGAAGAAAGTCTACTTCATGTCGGTAGATAGTTTGCGAGTTCAGAGAAAAGCGGCGAGGATGTGCTGGAGTCAGGTTCTATGGCCGTCCCCGGGCTCTGCGCTGTGGTAGAGAAAGACACAGGCGGGAACAAAAGGATGTGTCACTGATAAGCAACACAAAAGCCTCCGGTGATGAACATCTTGCTCACTTATACTCTGTCGGTTTCATTTGCTTTCATAGGATTTCTATCTATCTGACAAGTTGTTGCTAATGGCTCTATTGATGGTTAATAAATCATTTGCTAATGCTTTACAGTTCAGGAACAAGCCAAGAGCGTGTTTTGGGTTGCCAGATTGTATAAAATCCATTTGGCTCTGGTGCTTCTGGACCAACA